GAATCTCGCATCTCTTCATACGACCTCATTAGTAAGTCCTTCGCAGCCTTTGTCTTGCGCGTATTGACTCTGGCTCCCGTTCAGACCCTTACAATGACCCTTTTCTACCTAGCGGCATATCCTCAATATATGGATCACCTCCGAGATGAGGTCGATAGGGTGGTTCGAGAACACGGCTGGACTAAAGCCGCACTAGACGAGATGCACAAGGTTGACAGCTTCCTCAGAGAGGTGATGAGAGCCTCGGGGATGACCACTGGTATGCATTGTATTTCCATATTCAACGACTTCATCAACTCTGATCATGAACAGGCACCATGTCCAGAAAGGCGGTAAAGGATTACACCTTCTCGGACGGCACCTTCGTTCCTGCGGGCACTTATCTCATGGCACCTACTAGTGCAATTTACACAGATGATACAGTGTATCCGAACGCAGTCGAATTCAATCCATGGCGCTTCTCCGACATGCGGAACCAGGGCGAGCACGTAAAGTTGGTGAATACCAATCTAAATTTTCTTAGCTTCGGTCACGGATATCATGCATGGTACGACTCTCACTCAATGGTATACATGATACACGTGCGCTGACGATCGAGGTCATCTCTGGATTGTTTTCATATAGCCCTGGCCGGTTCTTCGCAGTGTCCGAAATGAAGATCATACTGGCGCACATTGTGGCAACCTATGATGTGAAGATGGAGCAGGAAGGTGTTATACCCACCCCTATCATGATAGGCCACGTCTGTGTGCCGAGCAGGAAAGCTGAGATACTGGTTCGCAAGAAATTGCCATCTCAGATGGCATGACCGCCGTCTTGAAATTGACGTTTTGTATGAATGCAGTGTATACGTACGGCTTTGCTGCGACTGCAGACCTCAGGCGACAGGCCCCAGACATTCATGATATAATGATAATGTATCCTACGTAAAGTTGAAGATAAGATGAAGCGAGCAAGCGACGCTGCAAATGAAGGAAGCGACAAGCCGCCTTTCCCAGCGAGGTTAGATACGTTCGCGGACTGTAATCGGTTCTATGACCAGGGAAGCTTCATCTGGTTTGTATGGGCGGTGGCAAGGCGCAGATTCATGGCATCATGCATTGCGCAATCGATTTCCAGCGTGATGATCCGCCTTATCGGACCTAGATAGAAACTTGCGCAAGTTGCTATTCGGTTTGCCATTGGATATCTCACATTTTCATCGTCTTCAAAATTAGCAACAACGGGCATTGCTGGAGCGCTGGGTCCATTTGGTAGCAGCCGAAGATTAACTACTTCGCTTGCGGGTGTTCTTAACGGCTGTGATCGTCTAAATAAGCAAAAACGTTGTATGGACGCAAACTGAAGAACACGCCGACTTCGAGTCCACACTTAACGCGTATTGCGAATACAAGTGGTGTAATTGTAACACTTACATCAGGTGGAAACATTCACTACATTTCTCGAGAGCTGGATGCTGTTCAAATCGTACCAAAGAGACAAAAGGCGGTGGTACAGATTAAGCCAGAGGTGTATAAAATGAAGATGAAGATAGACCGGTGCTTGCAATAGAACCAAGCGCATCGATCAACGAGAATGACATCCTGTCCCTGGCCGCCAACCCCGCTCTCATCAACCAGTTAAGATACAACGTCGACAAGACGACCTGTGAGATGAGAACCCACGCGTAGCCAACACGGCGTGCAAAGAGTTCCGACCATCTGATTTGCGTTCGCTTTGCAACGCCTATGGCTACATCTTCGAAGGTGATTGCTATCGCCTGAGAGATATAAAATGGAAATGACGCTCCAAATAACGCAGGGTTCGCCATGAAGTCTCCGCCACAGTGTATAAGACCAGAGATGGCGAAGGCAACGTACAACTGGAGATACGAGGAAGCCCATGATCCAGACTGCAAGTTAAAGAGGCGGCAGGCCACTTTCCCAAGCGATCCCAAATACTAGCACGGAACAGGTCAGTGTCGTATCAGTCGGCGAGAAAACGAAACCCCCATACCCTACGCATAAATTGATGGTAGGTGCGCCTGTCATATTGACAGCCTGGTTAATACTAGACTGTTAGAAATAGAGCGCTCAGCTTACCCCCAAAATCGCCGGAGAGTGTATGCGTCAGACAGCCGACCGTAAACGTCTGGCCAATCGGACGGCGAAAACCATCCAAGGGCAACAGACCCCGCGGCGAGCAAGTAATATTGCATAGCAATTGCTCCGATTGTGCAACAACGCTGTGTGCATCCGTGAAGACTGAGCGATGCGAAGTCTGCACCCCTCTGTGGGAACGTCCGCTCGACCAACTGCATGAGATCGACGAGCAAAAACCACCGGAACGCGCTTTTCAGCCGTTCGCGCACGAAGGTCCAACGGGGTTCACTCGGCCGCGAGGGGATATTGCTAAGCTGCTCCGGGAAAATTGAGATTGAGTTCGAAGTTGTCACGTACCGTTCAACATGCATACCTGATAGTTCCATCCGACTCCGCGGGGATTATTAAAGATGCACAGTGCCCATAATGCTCGACGGTCAAATGGGAGCCGTTCTGGTGCGATGCGATCTCGTTCATGCATAAATTCCTTGATTGGATTTGTAATCCAGATCAAGTGAATGGCGGTGAAGAAATGTCCCAGCAATATGCAGCCGAGAGTATGATCTCGGAAGGAATTTCCAGTAGAGCATCGGAGAGCGTACATAAGAGAAAATCCGTATGCTGTGAACGCGCCTAATCTGAATGGCCAGCGTGGCCGAAGAACAATGAGTGCAGCGAGGAAAGCATGCTGAAGTGTGAGATAGGGGAGCATCGGGAAGGAAGGACGCGCATGGTCGCTCATGATGAATGAGACGCACTAATCCAGAGGAGATGAACACAGTCGCTGCATCCTTGCCCTCGCAATTTTATGCGAATGTATACATGCATGATGTTCATTGTTGAGGGAAGAAATGATGGTACCCACGCGATGAACGCTGCACCTGTCGAGTAGATGTTTGATTAGATTTCAAAAATCATGTCATTCTCATGACCCTTTATCTACAGCGTTGCGAGGAAGATTGAGTAGTTCTAGCACCCGAATGGTGAAATTCAAATCGTAACATGCGCAGGCCTGTCAAACGTAACATTCCTACTGCTCGAGCGGCTTTAGGTATTCGGGAGGGACGGGGATAGGACGACCGCCTTGTCCATGGAGCGTCTGGCAGAGCACGTTTGTCTTTGTTCGGCGCTGGATCAAATTGAAGGACTTCCATAGATTGTCATTGGAGGGGGTGGACTGTCATGAATCATTTATTACTTTGTTAGTGTTACAGCACGAGTCAAAGCCTGGGCCAGGCTTGATCAATTGGTCATCTGCGGGTAGTCAGAACAGGCCGAGGGAGCCATTAAGGGCAATCCCTCCTGGTCGCCTGAGTATTAAAGTGTGTTGCACACATTCCAACAACGTGCAATGTTGATTTGGCTCCTTGTACCTAAAACCACTTCGGGTATAGATAGACCGAATGCTAAAGAAGAACCCCTACATACCGGTCATATTGGAGAATGAATCGCTTTGAATCAGGTCACGGCGAAGACTCAAAATCGCTAAAAAGCATACCTAGGAGTACTAGCACAGGTGGTGTATCAATATGTAACACAATCCAATCTGTCACCGGACAGTATAAGAGCTGACATCTTTTCAAATTGGGAGATGCGAACAATATGATAGAAGGATGAAAGACACAACTACAATAGTCATGAAGCAGACCAATAGGCATCTGAAGGGGCAACCAAATATCGAGACGTGCAGTCCTTGGGTATATGAATACAACCTTGGAACTACGAACCATTATGCGACGCTGAGGAAGCTCCGCTTGAATATGTTAGTTGAGACAAGCCGGCCATCATCTCCCACTTCATTTAAGACGTTCGAGGAAAAAAACCATCCCAGAGACCGTCGTCGGGTCTCGCTGACGCCGTTCTTCCCCGAGATGACGCCGGCTTCTTCGGGCTGGTCTCGCCCATCGAGCCAGCGATGGTTCGGACTAAATGCTTGAGTGCATACACCTCGACAGGTTTGGTCTTTACGAGGGATCGACATGTTGGACACGTGTATTGCGGTCGGGGCTGCCTGGATTCGAGTTGTGTAATGTGCATTTGAATCTGCAAGCGAGTCTGTTGAGGTAGGCCTGGATTCTGGAGCGCTGTGCGATACGGCGCGAGAGCTGGTTGATTGTAGTCCGGATGGCTAGTCATATGTTGCGCGAGGGTCGTATTGAACCAATCTTGCAAGCATGTTTGGCAGAAAGAGTGTCCGCAGGGAAGACTATGACATTGAGCGAGATGAGCGCATTCTGGAGTAAAGATAGAGGAAGACTTACACATAAGGAGTCCACAATTTGAGCGTACATATTTCACAGCTGATGTGGTCCTCCAACGATGAGGGTTGTACAGCCTTCAGACGCTGTACTTCCTGGAGGCGCCCAACTTGGTGAGCGCCACAAGACAGTCTTCCAGTCACTGGGGCTCACCTTCTTGGCTTCATTCAGTTGCTTTTGCAGCGACTTGATTGTGCTAGTCGATGTCTCATGCTTTATTGAGGAGACGCTATCATCGGAAGATATTTCGACAATCTCCACGGATGAGGGAATAGACGTGCGTTGTTTCCGTTTTTCAGCCTTCCGTGATTTGGTTTTGGGGTGTCTTTTTGTCCCTGTGGAAGCCTCGTCGTCGGAAGATATCACGATGAGGTCAGGGTCAGGGTCAGGGGGGCTGCTGGGTGTGGTGGCTTTGAAGTGAGATTGATGTGCTTGACGCGAAGACTGGCGCGAACGAGTTGCGGGCATGTTGAGGTGGTCGTGGAAGTGTTGAAAAGGGCGCGAGAGAGGGAAGAGCAGAGGTAATAAAGATATGAAAGATGACAGTGACAAGGAAAACTTGAACTCACCACCCAAAGCCACCGCCGGACCCACCCCGGCCGCCCTGACTTAGCGCCGACGGCATACCTACACTAATTCTCACGTGTCCCGCCCGAAAGGCGCGACTGTGCAGATCCGCAAGGACACAGTATATGACCAGGATACAACAACCAGGATACAGCAAACCTGATATCACTAACTTATCTCCCTCGAGCCTCAGTCGCTGCTAGTTTGATAGCCGCACAAAGCAAATCTTCGAATATCAAAGCAGAAAGACAGCATGATTAAACCAAATTGTAGTATATCGTATAGCAGCAGCAATCTCCGGAATGGACAATGCACGTCGCTCGCTGCCAAATGGCAAGCTGTTTCGTTCCATCTCATCAAATAATCCGGTATCGATTGTTTCACCCCGTGTAGAGAGACAACATACCAAGTGATTTCTTCTTCACGCCTGCACCCGCCCGTCGCTCGCGCGGAATGTGCGACTTCGCATCCGAATCCGACCCCGACCCCGACCCCGACTCCTCCGACTCGTCATCATCATCGTCGTCCTCGATCTCATCGTGTCGGTGTATCACTTTTGTCTCAGTCTTCTGACTTGCAGCGGGTGTCTGGGTAAGTTCCTGGCGTGGCGTGAAGAGTTGCTGGCTCGCGATATCCGATAGGCGGGGGAAGGGCGCAGAGTTCATCATCCAGCCCTTGGTACGGGGTCGGGCGGCTGCTTTCGGCGCGGCAATATCCTCTTCCTCTGAGTCATTCTTACTAGAAGAGGACCGCGCGGGAGACACATCTCGTATGGCAGCTGGCGAGCGTGAGTCAACGAGTTGGATCTGAGTGCCAGGTAAGAATAAAGGCTCGGATTCTGCTCGCGATTCCGCTTCCAGCACCAGATCTGCGTCTTGTTCTTGATTACCATTTGAGGGGACCTTTCGCTCAGGACTTGGCTTCTCCGCGGAGGGGGTGACGACTTTCAATGGTGCTTGTGCCGGAGAGAAAGCCCCATGCTCAGGACTGCTGGAACGCAGCTCGTCAACCATGGACAATTCGGGCTCCACCATGGACGACTCTTGCGCTAAAACCGTCCACGCTGTCGGCCGCAGGGGGGTCTCCGATGTCTGCATTGTTTTAGGTGTGTCCACGATAGTCAAGTCCACCCCAGCGTCCACACCAGCATCGATATTCTTACTAGCGCCAGATGAAGGCGTTGACTTGGGCGCCACTGGTCCTTTTTTCTTGGCTGAGCCCTTCTCCGCTTGGACGCGCGCTTTCTCCGCTTTCTCCGCTTTCTCCGCCTCCCGTTTCATCTTCTTCTCTGCGGCTACCCGGTCTCTTTCCGCTTTCTTCTCCGCTGCTCTCCTCTCCTTCTCTTCCGCGGGAAGAGGTGGGCGGCCTCGACGTTTTGGTTCAGCGGCCGCCTTAGCGTCCGTAGCAGCCGGAGGAGGCAGAGGGGGCGTCAACGCAGATAGTGGTTTCTCAGTCCCGGAAGGACGTCCCCTACGCTTAGTCTCCGGGAGCGGTGGCGGTATCATCGACGTGATTGATTGGGTCTTGCGCGCCGACCGTCGGGTCTGCTTCACTTGATCGCTGCCCGCAGGCTGAGAGCTCGTCTTGCCGGCTGGCATAGGGGTGGACTGTGCTCGTGCGTCAAAAAGCATAGATGCGAGTACTGGGAGATCGCTCTCCCCCCCCGGAACTTTACCGTTTCGATCTTTCATGCGCTTCGCAGTTCCTGGCTTTGGCATACTGAGCGGCGGAGGCGTACTCTGTGCTGTGGGCGAGGGAGTTGTGTCTGTCTCTACGGGGTCGTCTTCGTCTATAGGGCTGTCTCGAGAGCGGGAATCATCTGCAAGCTCGATAGGCTCGTCATCCTCATGCATCTCCAGCTCATCCCCGATCATAGGGTTGCTGTCGAACGACGCATTGAGGTCGGCTTCTGGGACAACGGTCGAATCGGTCTGTTCTTCTATCAGGTCACTTGTCTCCAAAGACGACGGGACAGCGGCTAAGGATGTCTGAGGCTCGACTGCCGCATCCAGGTTCTCGGTACCTTCACGAGCAGTACTGCGCTCTGCACTGATTTCCAACTCTGCAGTAGGTTGTCGCTGTCTTTCGGCCTCATCCACATCTGCAAGCGGTTGTGAGGATGATGAGGGATTGGGCTCAGGTTGGGGAACCGAGGCAGGCGTCTCCGTTTCATTCTCCACTGGCGTATATGGAGTTTGCTCTTCAACCTCGGGAGTTACCTTCGGTGAAGTCCCCTCGCTGACCTCCTCACCTGTAGACTGAACGCTGGTAGGTTCCTCAGCAACCTTTATACAACAGGTGAACTCCGTCAGCCATACTCTCTCGCACCAACATTGAAACTTGCCTGTTCAACGGCCGGCTCTTGAGGGTCAATATCCATGCCTGTTGACAGCACTATTTCGACACCATTTTGCTCCGCTTCATCGGAGGATGATCCAGCCCGTCCAAACTTCTGCGATAAGCGGCGATAGTCCTTGTCCAATCTCTCCTCCTCGCCCTCCAAGTCCTCAGCGTCAACATCGTCCTTGTCATCTTCATCGTCACTACTACTCTCCGAGGGCAAGTTCGCCAGAACACTCAGTTTGGGAACGGGTCCGCGCAGCAAAGCATCCACATCGATACCGTTGATGCTGGTCGACGAAAAGCTAGCGGTTCCGATCGGCGTCGCTCTCTCGTCTTCCGAATCGCTAGTCGAGCCGTCACTGCTGCTCCCTTCATCCCGGCTCTCAACTAGGACTTCCGAGATCTCTGACCCTGCGGGAAGTCGTGGGGTTGACGGGATCTTCGGGAGGATGGTCTCTGGACGAGACGAAAGCGCTTGAGACACAGTAGTAAGTGCCGCGCTGGCCACCATATTTGTGACGGATGGCTGAGGTGATGATGGAGTAGAAAGAGGACCGGCCTGGCCAACCGGGTGGCTTGGAACGACTTTGCTATTCACACTCAACCTGCTCGCCTTCTGTTTCTTGCCTTTGCTCTTTGCTATTTCAGCTACCACAGCCGAGGTCGACAACGGTGCCGCCGCCTCCACTACAGGAGACGCGCTACCCCGTGGTTCGTCGCCACCCACAGAATTCTCCGGAACCCATGAGGAACTGAGCTTCGACTTCCCGGGCTTCTCACGTAGCCGGCGTGCTTTTTTCTCTGGACTCTTTTCAGACAATGCTTTACGTGCCGCTTCTGACTGGACAGAAGGGTCAACTGGGATCAAGTTCGCCAACACGGTATCAGCAGCGGCCTTGATGTATGCGAACCTCTCTTCTCGTGTCATCTCCGATGCATCTGAACATAAAAAATAAGCTTAACGTGATTCTAGATTATACCAAGTAGCCAGAGAACTACCTTGCCCCTGTTCCTCAGCCGGTTTCGCAACCAAAGCTATGCTCGATTTTTTCCTTCTCACTTTGACAGGCTCAGCAGCTACTTCCGTTGATGGGTTCGACGATGAGGTGCTGGCGGACGTCTCTGCAGTCTGGCGACCTTCAACGCTCTCATTCTGTAGCTTGTGCTCTTTCTTCTCTCTCGCTTTCTTCGGCGTTTTCGAAACGGACGGCTTTACTGGAGACAGGCTAGCAGAGTCCCCATTAGGTTGAGGAGAATCATATTCGGGCAGCTTGCTAAGAACTTTACTTGGCCGTCCACCCATCTTTGCAGTCTCAGCTCCACCTTTGCCGTCGTTGTCTTGTGTTTGAGTTCCGCTCGGACCAGCAGACTCCTCAGGCTCTGGAGCCTTTTTCTTCGTCTTTTTCTTCTTCTGTCTGGCCCGGTCCGGATCTGAAATGAGGGATAGGGTCTGGTCTTTCACGTAAGAAGCATTCGACGTGTCAGACGCGCGGCGAACCTCATGTTTGGCCTTTTTCCGCTTCGGTTTCTCTGGTGTATCACTGAGAGTAGATTGCGCAGACGCATCTTTCCCGGTCGGCGTCGACGACAATCCAGAGGGACCTATAGCAAGATTGTTTCGACTCTGCCGTTCAGAATCCGATCTGCCTTTCTTCTCATTAGGTATGGAGGGAATGACGGGCGCTGGCGCGGAAAACCGAGAAGTGGAAGCCTTCTGGACGCGCGACTGGTCAGCAGCGGGTGTAGGTGTCTCAAGAGGGAGCTCCGACTCAGACCTGGGAGTACTAGGTTCGTGAGTATCAGTGCTTTGCTGTCGTTTTCGCTTTTTAGCCTTCTTCGAAGTCAAGACAGTATCTTTGGCCTTCTCAGGACCTGGCGCCATCAACAATTGCTCAGCCCCCTTAGATTTAACGATCGCGGTCCGCCCACCTGTAGAGCAAGCTACTAAGTCAGGTCACGGCTGCGTTGGGCACGTTCAACGCACGAGATAGAGACTCTTCCGAAACGTCATTATCAGTCCGGATACTCGATGGGGTAGAAGCGAAAGTCTTCGAAATACCCTTGTCTTTCTTGTGCTTCTTGATGGGAGGCTCACTAGTGTTGCTAGACGCGAGAGTAGTCTGCTGGGTATCGGCAAAGGCAGTAGATGGCATGGGAATGATTGTTGCAGCCTCGGATGTTATCGCTTCGGACGTCTCTGAATTTTCTTGCCGTAAATTGCCTCTAACGGATGGGAAAATAGAAGATCGCTTCCGTTTTCTTGCGGGTGTCACGACCTGGTGAATGTTAGAATATAAGTGGTACAATTTCAAGGCAATCTTACAGGGATATCAGAGACATTAGCCTGCCTCACTACAGATTGCGTAGTTATTTCAGCTTCGGACGTGGTCTCCCTTTGCATCTCAGCATTCGGTACAGGATCTTGGCCTGCAGAAGACGGAAAAACAGATGTTCGTTTCTTCCTTGCAGGAGATTCTTGCTGCTCGAAAATTAGCGTGCAGAAGAAGGTATGCATGCAATACTTACAGAAACGGTGTTTGATTCCCGTGTTGCATGAGCTGTGAGGTCTGCAAGAATTTCGTTCGGCAATTCTAGCGTCACACGAATGTTGACTGGATTGTTAGGCCGTGCGATTGCACGCAGTGCCTCGAAGTCCTCATCTACAGGGTGATCAGCAAGAGACTAGCGCGGATATGGGGAAGGCGAATGTCGATATTATCAGAGGTGCGCCGTGCGGCAGAACTCATATATCACCGTCTTTATTTTCAGTCCTCCCCTGCCTGATGGCCTCAGATGCCAATGATCCATATCGATAGTATTGAAGCAACGGCGCACCCCTGATCATCGAATATCATGTGTTCCTTCCATGCAAGTCGCGTCCTCACCATCTTCTAGGTCGATTACACTTTCATCCTGAACGCGTACCAGGTTGACTACCGCGGTGTTCGACAGACCGAGTTTCTGCCTCACAGAGTCCTTGAGTTCATCGAGAGATTGATCTTCACGCGTAGTGAATTTAACACTCGGTTACGAAATAACACATCCGTGCGCACCTCTGAATACCCTTTGAAACGTCCGGTTCTCGGGCGCGTGAAAAGTTACGACGGGTGCAGGGGTGTGTTCAGTCACTGTCTTGTCTTTTGGCATCGCTGCCACGGATGAAGAGCGCGTTATGTGAACTCGCGGGCACAAGCAGAGCTCGCACAAGTTGCGGAAATTGAAGGATATAAGCGCTTGACGGGCAATTGCTTTCCTTTTTGGGACGAAAGCACGGTACCATAAGCCAAAATAAAGCCAAACATATACCTCCGTCTCCTTCCACCATGGCTGGACCTTACGGTGAGTTCACTTCTTCTGACAGCACGGGATGTTCTCAGCTAATTTATTTTGTACAACAGCTCCAGGTTTCCACCCGCACCTTCCTGGTTATAAGCATAAATTCTTGGCCACCGCGTTAGGTGCCACTATGTGGTTTTGGATCTTTTACCGCGCCCGGTACGTTTGATTTCGGGTTGTTTCAATGTGGCTAACTCCGTTGCAGCAAAGATGGTGCTAAGTTGCTGGTCAGTTACTATTCAATTTATATGCCTCGATTTACTTATTTCCCACAGGGATTGAGACATCCTTGGGAAGGCCACGGCCACGGCCATGACGCGCACGACGCGCACGGACACCAGGAACATCATTGACTTGTGACGTAGATATCAAGTTTGTAATCCTGCCGCTCGCTCATCATTAGCGCAACTGCAACTGCCACACGCATGTCAATGAGCTTCTGAGATTGGTGGAAGTCAGAGTGTTCGGTTTTTATACGTCAATTTTGATCGCATATACAGCGTGCACGGTCCTGCGATGGTAATAGTGCGCGGGCTCGACATATGAATTCATTCCACTCCTCCCCATTTCACCCCGACCCGACTTTGGCCACTCCAACTCTGTGTGAGTCTTTAGCTGTATTCGAATTCGTGCTGCATCTCCTTGTATCGGTATACACCACGGTTAGACGTGGGCACTACAAGAGTGTCTTTCACGAACGAATATGAGGCGTTGGAGGCGGCAAGCGATTTTTCAGGCTGCGGGCTTGCTTCAACCTGAGACGTTACCACTATTTATCGCAGTTGTATTAGCGTATTGCTGAGTTCTAAAATGGATAAGAAATTCGTGTAAGCACGCGGATGGCTTGTGCCGAATTCTACGTCCATTGATTTAGCCCACCGACAGCCGTTTCTCAAGGGCGTATTCGGTGCTTACTTACCCCTACAAAGCTTGCCTCTGTACTCCAAACAACGGCTCTTGTCTTTTGGTCTCCCGTTTCACGCCTAGGCTACGTTGATCACGCTAACGACCCTGCTGCGGCACGCACCAAATCAGCTCGACTTTCGGCGTTTCGATAATACAGCCTACAGCTCCACTGTGTGCTCCTCCAGGTGCAGCGGCCTTTATGCATTGACCAAATGTCTTCCAATATGGATCGCCCACCAAGTGCAGCTCGCAGACGTACTCTAGACTTCCCCTCCAGACCGGAGGCAGGGTTGGCTGAGTGGACACATAAGATCAAAGCGTTGCAAAGACAGGTGGATGAAGATGAGGAGGAAGAGCATAAGCGGCTAGAACAGGAGATCCAAGCGTCCAGGCTTGCTCGCCTCCGGAGGAGCGCAGGACAAAGCACGGCTGTCGATCTTGGTATGTGTGACTTATTCTTGACACCTATCGCATCTGACATTATGCTGGTTCTTCCAGCCAATACTGAGTACGGTCAAGCATTGAAGTCCGACGAAGTAAATGAGTCAAACAGAATGGGCTTGGACAGGCAACAGAATCAGGTCGACGCTTTGCGGAAGCTTACTGGCGAGATACGATCGACGACAACAGCGACGCCCCCTCGTGCAGGTGCCCCCGCAACACCAGTGTCCTTGGCAGCCTTTATTGGTGGACGCGCGACTGGCCCTCGACTAACCAAACATGCGCCTCAGCAAGATGCGCACGACCCTACTCAGTTTGAGCAGCGTACTCATGTAACTGCGCCTCATCCTATATTTGGCCGTGGAGGAGTTGCAATGCCTGGTCTAGCAGGCAGAGGAGTCTCTTCTGCATCGTCGACGCCACTTCCACAGGAAAAGAACAAACCGACTTCTGTTTCGACTCACACTATTGGACGAGACCGCACACTGAGCACGCCGCATTATGACGCAAACAGAGGACCAATTTCGACCTCTTCGACACCTGTCCAAGATGACCGAGAGAAACTGGTTTCTGTTGCGAACCATGTCACAGGGCGAGATCGCAGGCAGAGCACACCGTCGGTTGCCAAAGCTTATTTGCAGAAGGTTGAACGGGAAACCATCGTTACCCAACAGACGGGTATCTCGGAGACGGCACGAAAGCGCACTATAAGCACGCCTACCGGCGTTGTACCCACGAAGAGCACTACATTCACTACACCAAAGGCGTCCATTGATGATTATTCAAAGGCTCCCTCTCTATCGTCGAACCTTCGGCCTACTACCCCCGGTTTGGATCGCCAGGCTTCGATGAATCTACGTATGCCGCCACCTGTTTCGGTCTCACCAAGCCCTCTCATACAATCCTCTCTGTCAAGTCCTCCTCCCCCTTCTCCGACACCTTCATCATCGTCCAAGACATCGGTCACTATGTCGTCCCTTTCACGCCCCGTTCAGCCCTCACCGCGACACTCTCTTGGCCCGCAACTCGCAACTTCTCCGAATCCATCGTTCGCATTTTTGCGTCCGCCTCCGGCAAAGGATCCAACGCCCAGTATCAGTCGCTTACAGGGACGTGGCTTTGTGAAGAGTATGGTTCAAGCTAGTGGCCAGTTTTCCGCCGAATCACCCAGCACGCCTCCCTTGCCCGACAAGAGGGATTCTGGAAGCAAGAAGCAACCATCTGTCTTGGACCGATGGCAGAATAGCTCGCCGGGAAGCCCGAGTCCATCCCCACCCATTATCTCACCGAAGCCCGTTGCCATGCGTAAGTCGCGCACAGTCGACCCAACTGTCTCAACGCCCGAATTTACGCCACCGAGATTGGTAAAGCCGGATTATACTGGCCGGTCACTCAAGTCTGTCGCATCGTTGCCCTCCATGCAACAAGCAGACGCACGATCATCGGCGGGCAGTGATGTCGGCAAGGATGGTCGCCGCACACCCGGCCTTGGCTCGTCGAAGACAATGATCTCATATATTAAGCCGATCAAGACAGGCGATCGGCCTCCAACAGCGTCGCCACCTCCGCGCAGTCGCGCCACGTCGCCGTCGGGAGATGTTGATGAGCTTGGGATGCGGGTACGCGCCAGGAGTAGGAGTAGAAGCAGGAGTTCTTCAGTTGCGACGACCGCGGCAGCAGGCAGGCCGCTCAGTCATGTAGGTCCACTTTGGTGACAGTGCTGTTATATATTCTTGTGAGATGGTGTATTGCCGCCTCTTGCAAATTCACTCTGAATTCGCGCTGATTCGTGTCTTGTGTCTTGTCAGCTCACCAAGGACAGAGCGAAGAAACCACGGAAGCAAAAGACTGCACCGGACTCGGTCAAGAGGTCTCAGACTAACACGAGTTCCTCTGCGAATGGAGACAGAGTGCACGTTCCGCACATGGAGATTGTGTCGCTATCGGAACTCATTACGACTGCTGAAGTCCCAGAGACCCTCGTCCGTTTTCCTACTTCGTCAGTACCTTGTTCTGGTGACAAGCCTGCATTGAGCGCGAAACCGGCGTCCCCGTTGAAACATGGCTTCGACGACGATTTCACACCACTTGTTCTGGAGAAATCATCGTGGCTCCCCAATGTGCTTATACCACCTGCTGCCTCTGCTGACGACTCTGGTGCAGAAGGAAGAAGCGCAAATCGCGGCCTGACGCCGTCCCCCACATCTCCTGCTCTCGCGAGGGACAAGGCCTCCGCATCACCTGTTCGCCATGTCCGCATCCCGAGCACCGGAAATAGGGCAACTGTTATGGACGTGGCTCAGGCGTTCCAAGAGCAGAGCGGGCGCGAGCCTTCTCCGATAGATGCATCACCCGTGCGGACTAGCCTTCCCAAGCCTACAGATGAACGGGACAAAGCGACGGATGAGGATTACCCCAGACCGGACGTGAAGACTTTGTTGGCAAATTGGGAACCGAAGAATGACCCTGTGCGACCGGATAGTTCACCGGTGGACAAGCGAAAGTCTAGCTATGATAAATATTCTGCTTTTGTGATGCCTCCCCTTGAAGAGGAGAGAACGCCCCCGTCGTCCCCTTCGGGGACATTAGCGCGGAGTGCCATCCCGGTCGCGGTATCTGATAATGTAAAGCCTACTTTTGTTTCGCCTATCACCTCATCCCAGGATATCGGCGGCGGACAACCGACTGCTGCAGTTGCTAAGGCGGAATTTATATATATTGGTTGGTGGTTCCCATTGACGCAAGGAATCTATCCCTGACTCTGATCGTTGCTATTTAGATCATTCTAACGACTCCCCTCCCCCAGTCGATATCTCTGAGCTTCTGACTTCCTCGCACGAGTCCGTTATCTCCAGCGCCGACGTACAGACGATATCTGTGGATGTCATGTGCATTACTGGCAGCACCGCGAGTTCGGTTTCTCAATACTTGCATGTCTTCTACGACACTGAGGTTCTTGCTATTGTCTACCGGGCGAAGTCGCGTACAACAGGGCTTGTGGACACAACGGTGTGGGGTTGGCGCGGGAGGCGGAGTAATATGGGCGAGAGGGAGGAGAGGAAGCTTGGCGAATTGGCAAGGCGTTATGGCACCGCTCTGGTATGTCTAATCCTAATAGTTTATTGTTCAAATATTGCGTTTGGCTGATTGCGATTTTTGTGACGTGTAGATCACGGTGCATCAGTACTGCGAACCTGAGAACTTGGCCGCTGTGCTCGGCGGCCGCATTATCACGCGCCAGGTGAGAAGTTGCATGTCGTGTTTTATTTCCTGAACACGAGATGCTCACACGAAGCAGGGCTCACGTGCGCATTGGTCGGCCGAGAACACTGCCATGCACATCGTACGCTCAATTGGCCGAACGGTCTTCGTCGACGAGCTAGATTTGGTAAGTCATCTTGTCCCCAACCCGACCCAAAAAGATCTGATCGGCTGACGCCGTCGATCGACATAGAGCATCAAGAATCTCTGTTCCGCTTTTAGCTACTGCCTCTCCCTTCTTGACACCTTGTACATTTGGCATGGGGTTGGCTCTTCAGAATCCGAACGTGCCGTTGCACGCGAGTATGTCGCGACCATCACCGTCCCATCGTCTACTGTCATAGAGCTGAAGGAGGGAGAGAACGACGGAGACGAGATGTTCTGGATGATACTCGGTGATGGGGATTATGCCAGGGCAGATTATTGGAAGTGGAGACCCAGTCTGTCCCCTGAAAGCATGATCACAAGAATTTGGTGTGTGACTACACAGAAGACGGAAGATACGGTATGTGTTTGTTATTGTGGCTATATAATCACGCTGACTAGCATGTGATCTGCTGGGTAGATAATTTCTGTCCCGTCGTTCATAACTCACAGTGCAATACACGCCATGGTTCACATCATCGACTGCGTCTGGGAGTTCTTCGTTCTTGTTGGGAGCGACGCACGGGGAAAGAGACGAGATATTCGACTGGCCCTTGACGCAGCTGTTGTATGTCAATCTATCAAACTGTCGTTGTTGGTATTACCTCTGAGCAATTCTAATCATAGAAAATGTCGGAGATGGTCGCGCCACTAAGACCTTTTGCTCCTCCCGTACACATTCTAATCTTGCCGTCGCAAGTCCCGGCTGATTTGCGATTGACCTGCCGGGGTTTGGACGAAGTTTCTCTGGTAATAGTCACCTTGATCCGTTCACCGCCCTTCTGTTCACATTTCCCCCATAGAATCATGGAATTGTCCCTGACCATATGAATCTGATTCCGGTAGGAGAGGCGTATGAACACGTCAGTCCTACTGTATTGTTCCTTTCTAGTTGATACTTACTGCTCTCTTGATTTTGACTTTATTAGATGGGAACAACCGCGTGGGAGAAGGCTGCCGTCAGGGACCCAACCATGCTTCCTCTTGGCGTTCACGCATCGGATCTGAAGTGAAGATGATTTATATCTTAGTGTATGTATTGTGCGATGTTTGCTTTCCCATACAAGTTACTGTATATATATACCCACTCTCTCCTTGGGCATGGAACATTACATGATTGCATAACCATGAACAGTTCTACCGAGCGTCCAAGCTCGATGTTTTCCAGAGCTGAGTGTAAGATCTTAATCGCTTTATGCGAAGTGTGAGTATAGTTGATTGATGTCATTGCGTTTGTTAACCAACTTGAACCATGATGTTGACTATTTTCATATGTTTACTTCTGTAGAACAAGGTTTGTATCGAACATGTCGAAGGTGAGTAATGAATACTTGCTCATACAGCCGTAGCCACCATATGCAGCAAACCGACACTCGCTACAAGTTCAACTAAGATGCATTCATGTATGTGGTTAATGAACCCCAGCTGATGAAGTACTTGGACCGTGATGGACCGTACTGTACGTAAGATAACTTCCGAAATAATTTCTACCGCGACATCTAAGGTAACACCGAGCTTCTAAAGAGTGTAACATCCAGCTAGGTGGATATCATACGTACAATCACCGCATCATGCCCTAGAATGCGGTGATCTCTGCTGAAACAACATTTCCGCCCTTGTGCTCGGCACGCATATATGGCCTATTCTGGTCGAACGGGGGATGACGCCTTCCCGCTCCATTTTCACATCGTAATTCATCACAATGTGCGCAAGTACCATCTTCATTTTGATCGATGCGAAGAAGCGTCCCGGGCTAAATGCAGCACACCAACACAAAAGATTCATAATCAGCGGATACATTGTTGTAAAATGCGATGTCGCACCATGCATGACCCCCGTGGCCAAAGGACAGGAAATTCACGTTGGTGTTCACCAATTTGACATGATCGCCTTGGTCGCCCATCTCCGAGAAGCGCCATGGATTGAATTCCGATGCACCCGGATAGACTGTGTCGTCGGCAAAGATTGGTCCGCTAGGTGTCATGAGATGCGTGCCTGCAGGAATGAAGGTACCGTCCGAGAACGTGTAGTCCTTTAAAGCTATTCTCGACATGGTCCCTGTGTGTATACTGGTCAAAACGCTATCCGAGCAGTATGCCGTCCAAATTACCGGTGCTCATTCCCGAAGCTCTCATCACTTCCCTGAGGAAACTATCAACCATGTTCATTTGATCCAATCCAGCTTTGGTCCATCCATGCTCTCGGACGACGTTCTCGACTTCATCCCGCAGAGGTCCAATGTACTGAGGAAACGCTGCCAAGTAGAACAGAGCCATAGTGAGGCTCTAAAGACATTCATGGTGGCAGTCAATTAGCTCCAGTGCGCTCAAGGGAGCAATATGGTGACATACCACCGCCGTCGTATGAAGGGCCGCAAGATTGACTGCAAGGACACGAATGACTAGTGCACGGACAGTGCGTTCCTCTCCCCGTGCCGCTTCGATCAGCCACTGGAGCATGTCGTTCTGTGGTGGATAATCATGAGTAATTTGTCGATGAGTTCACTTCGGTTCACATACCGGCCGATCCGTCCATTCATCCCCCAGATCCTCCAGCATTCGAAGTCGTTTTGAGATTATAGGCTCAAGGTGTCTAACTCCACGATCGATACCTTTCGATACATCCGGCAATAAACGTGCGACAACACTGTATCACGAGTACGTGCAATTGAATGAAAGTCAGCGCTCAGCATATGCAATAATACGACACGATACACACGGTTTGAGAAATTTGGGGGTAATTCTGAACACTTTCGCACATGCGGTTATGTCGCGTGCGAATGACTTGTTAAGGGCACAGTAGTCAGGATCCCTGCCTATCAGTGGGTGGACGTCAATTTTATCCAACAGGCGGTCAAGGTGATAAGGCGTACATATCGGTAAACCGATAAACAGTCGGTTGCTTGCCCTGCACACTACCTCGTAGGCCATCTTCATCACAGGAACACGAGACCAGTTTCCTGAAAGCGCACAAGTAAATCAAAGCAATCTGAGATGATAGCATCCTGTGAAGCAAAACTAGATTCATACCGTCGCTGCCAGAACGAAGCTCGTCATTCAATGATGCAACAATTTCATCCCGAACTTCGTGGAAGCTGGAACCGAGATCGCCTTTGAGCCGAGAACGAATCACCTGCACATGGTAGGGATCGTGGATCATGCCTAATCCAAGTGTATAGTCCAATCCGATCATCTGCATTCGCGCACGTAATTAGACCCTTACGAAAAGACACGAGACGTCAGCATATTAACCTCTCTTAGGGCTTCTGAGCTGGACAGAACGCTTTCTGGAGCCCTGCGAAACTCGTCGACAAGCTTAGGTCCAGTCACAATCACACGCCAGTGCCCCAGCTCAGAAAATTTGAATATGCCGCCTTTGTACTGCCATAGAAAGTGTCAGCAAACATTCTTGTGTGTCGGATGATAGGGATGATAAAATACGCCACGCACTTTTGCATATCCCTCCTGCATGATTTCTCGCGCATGAAAAAGGAACCTGAAAGCACCATAGTATGAGATAATAGGCAGAGACGGCCCGCCCACAGTCGGTATATGGCGCAGCTATCGAAAGAGTCTAACTCAGCACGTCCTTGCAGCTATACCGAAAATACGCACTTTTTGTCTGTATAGCCCACTCGGCAAGGAGATAATGAAATATAAAAGAGTGACTGATAACAGTGCATACAACAATGGACCAAACTCCATGACGGGGACACAAATGACGGTGATGAGGAAGGCCTTGGCTCAGCTCCACAATTTTCGCTCATAATTTATATAATCCACGACCAATGACGGCTCCGAGTACGTTCACAATACATGGAAGTACAGGAGGCAACCCTGAGTGTTCAATGCATGCCTTCATGATAAGAGTTGCTTCGCTGTCACTGCCGTACATGGAAGGAATGTTTCAGGGTAGGTCGCCATGGATTCACGAGCACGCCGGCTTCGAGTCAGCGATTGGTAAGATGACTTAGGGAAAGACAGACGTACACACTGGAGCACATCATGGTGAGCACACGCTCTGTGCCGTGCATGCGAGATCAGTTCGACAGTATTATGAAATTTGAGCTCCATGGCCACTATCGACCATGTCCATGAAAAAGGCGCGCCAGTGTTGACAGTGACGACACTAGCACGATGAGGGTTTGGAAAAGACATCTCCAGCGGTCATTGATGCCGATCGCGGGCTCCTCGCCTGCGAATGTTGGGAGAAGCGACTAAGGAGAGTTACGGCACAATCAGCTGATTCCAAGTTGTCAGAAACTGGCAGCTAGAACGGATGGACAGA